TGAATAGAGAAGGGGAGGCCAGCTGGTCTAACAGTGGGGGATATGTGCGCCATGAGCCTGGCAAGTCAAACATAATCGCTTAAATAATATTATCTGTAACCAGGACCTCTTGATCCCCTCTTCTTCCAATCTGTGAGAAGAATGAACGTTAGGCCTAGGCTCAGCTGCTGCAATGCCTGAAAATTAAGAAGACGGGCGCCATGGAAACACAGCATCTTTAATATGCAGGCAGTGCTAGGCCTACATTCTTTGCTCTGCCTTCTTTGCGGACATTAAGATGTAAATACTTACAGAGGAGTAATACAATAGAAATACAAATCTAACATTTTGCCCCAGTAGGATACAATATGCTGGAGAACTATACATTTAAAAGAGATAATGCAGATTTTGGAGCTTAAGTTTTTCTTTTTAAACATTTTTTTCTGTTAAGCTTGGCAAGAACCTAGTTTATTGTCCTTGTGAACCTCAAATATGTAAAGTGCTGTTTAAAACAAGGCCATTAACTTGCTTTGCTGAGAAATGTTATGATGAAAGCTTAGAATGTCCTTTTGCAGTCTAGACTTTACTGTGCAAAATATTGATAGAAAGAAAGCCGTTTAAAGCAACCTTTTAAGCTGGCCATACACCTATAGATTTTTGTTCTAAAATCTTCCTTGCTGCCAAGAACCGTTGTTCGATTCTAGCACCAATAGCCCACCAAGCACAGACATTGCTAATGAACGATAACCGTTCATTAGCAATACTAACTCACCGAATTTTGACGATCAACAGAACGGATTTTCTTTTGCGCATGTGCAGTGTTCTTGCTGCGTTTTTTTTTGTACGTAAACACCACTTATCCATTGATTTTTGTACGATTAGAAAAAAGTTTTCCAGCCTGACCAATTGAGGAAATTTAGCCACAAGTACAGTAATTAAAATTGTTGCTGTCCCATCAACTGATTGATTGTCGTTTGAAAGACCATTTGTGGACGAACGAAAATCGGTGTATGGGCACCTTTAGGCTGTACTGTAATTTACTTGAAACCTTAGAACAAATAACTGTTACAATAACATAAATACATAACATATGTTACATAACATAAATAATTGTTTACCATAATAAATGAACATATATCTAAAGCCAAATGTACTTTTCCATTTTGAATAGAGTAGGTAATGTATGGTTAAAACCAATATCATATTGTTGCCACCATTGTGGAGATTCTTCTTCACTTCCTGTAGACATGACAAGAAGTAAGAAGACATATCACCATATGGAGGAATAATCTCCACTGGAACAAGTGTTCCCAATGCAGTATTCCTGTTCTGGTGATTACTCAAAATAATGCATTTTCCCTCACTGAGGCCTTGTGACAATGGCCTCTGAGGCCTTGTGACAAGGGCAGGTTCCCCAGCAGAGAAACAGACAGCAATAAAAACCTGTCACGGGTTCTTACTCCTCACCACTCTATCCAGAAAACAGTTTTGGTTTTAGATACACTTTGTTCCACTATTTATCTTCCTCACTGCTGAGGGAGCTTTTTTTCCTCCCCTACCAACTACCATTCCACAGCACACAGAAAGCACAATGTTACATAGCAGTTTCAGAAATCAATTGGTAAAGTTCATTACCTACAATCATAAAATATAAATGGTGCAAAAAACAAAGACATGCAGTAACACAAACGCAAAATCTAAAAACTCCTCTAAGCACTATTTACATCTAACATGGACATATCAAATAACCTCTGTGTAATTTTAGAAAAGAACAAACCTTTCGGAGAAAGAAACACAAGTTATGGTATCTACAGGCAAGGAAACACTGAAACTTTAACATTTTTGTTTCTAATTAGGGCTACTTTCTATTAGCATGTCAGAACTGGGTATATCTGAACCTGAAAACAAAGTTTAGCTACTTACTATCATGAATGGTAAGTTTTCAATGTATAAAGACATCTTTACTAAAACAAAATGATTACGGCATAGCAACCAGCGTGCTATGCCTATACATACTGTAACGTTTTGTACAAAAAAGCAACGTGGAGTCTCAGGAGTTCATGAGAAAGTGGCAAAAAACTACTACCTGTTTGTTTAAAGCGGTATAAACAACCATTTAAATGTTAGTCTTTTTCCCTGATGTGCACATTAGAGCACACTTACCTCACAATTGTGCCCTTCTCCAGCGATGTTGGATACATCTTCAGCCCCCAGCTTTGTCCCGCGCTGCCTCCATCTCCACCAACAACACTTCCGGGATCCCAGAAGCCCTCCTCGGCCACTGGGTGGCAACTGATGATGTAACTCCTGTGCATATGCACAGAACTTACATCCTCCCCAGCCCATTCATGGCATCTTACAGGCTTAGTGTGTACACTGCATGGTGCATGTGCCGTACAATATACAGAGAAAAAAAGAATGCTGATGGAGAAAGGAAAAATTGTTTTGGCAGAAATGTCTCGTTTGCCAGAAATCCCTACCTCCCAACAATTTTTTATTTTACTGACTTTACCTTTGCCTTGAGTAAGCAATAAATCACTCTCCTGAAGTCCACTAAAAAGCTAAAGATTTCAAGAGTGCCAATCTTTGTGTTCCCCTGCAATGTTCTCTGGTTTCCCCTGGTAACCTCCGTGTCATTACTCTCTCCTGCAGTGAAGAGGATAGGAGCAAAATAAACCAGTGAGAGCTGCAAAGGACCACCGAGTTCAACATTTCCAAAAGTTCTGATTTCCCATCAGACCAGGGAGCCAGTTTTCAGCAACGGAGCAAAGTTCAACAGTTGTGGGCAGAAGGAGAGGTAAGTATTTAGCCTCTTCTTTACTAGTATGTGCTTTGCTGAAATGTTGAATGATGTGATAGTATCTCCTTAAGTAGGCTCCCAGGCCCTCTCTATCCTTCTTTTAAAGCTCCCCCAGGCCAACCAAGGTATGCTGTTAATTAGCATAGTGCACTGTAAAGGAGTAGTATGGACACAATAAGGTCAGTTCCACATCTGTTCCCATTTTCTTTTTTCTAGTTTACAAATAGGCCCACTATTTTATAGGGTGTTATGCACTTGGTTGCACATTACCTGCTTTTCCATTTCAAGGAAACTAGATAGAAATTTAAATGTTCCACTTTTTAATTAGACTGGGGATTTTAATCCTCGGACCTATAAACCATATGTTGTAGCAAGTGCTGTCAACTAACCAAACTCTTGTGCCCTGATTGTAGACTGTTTTGGTGCAATTGCATTTTGAAAAGGACTTGCCATTTCATTTGTACTACCATAACAGCAAATGTACCGTGTTATCAAATATATACCATTTGCAATTCATTTGGCAACAATTTATTTATAATATATCTAAAAGTTGTAACAAAAATAACCGTATTTTTTATTTTAGAAGAGAATAACTTTATTAAACACACACATATTATATGTAAACTATTTTAGCAAAAACATACTACTGTTTAAAAAAACAGAACGAGCACTTTACCATGCATCCTCTGCAAAATACCTTATAAGAATAATAGAGCAGAGAAAGGAGGGTATAGCAGAAATAGGGATGTAAGTCAGAAGCAGTGAGTATATCAAGTCTCAGAAAAATGAAAATAGTTATCAAATTTAATCTGTATTGTTTCTAGCGTTGAAAAGATGCAGGAGTGCTTCATCTCTGTATTGTCTCTAGTATTAAAAAGATGCAAGAGTGCGTCATCTCTTATTGTCTCTAGTATCGAAAAGATGCAAGAGTGCGTCATCTCTTATTGTCTCTAGTATCGAAAAGATGCAAGAGTGCGTCATTTCTGTATTGTCTCTAGCAATTAGAAGATGCAAGAGTGCTTCACATCTGTATTGTTTCTAACAAAAATAATCTGTCTGCGCAGGCACATATGAAGGTAAATCACAGTGAGAATTGCTGCTGTGTGAGCAGGCATTTTAGTAGTACATTTGTAAAACCTAGTCAGAATCTGGGACATTTAGGCTTATACACTAAAGCAGAAGCCCAACCAAAACCTTTTTGTTTTGGGTAGCGAAGGACCTTTGTATGGTCTTTACTGCTGCCTGTGTCTACATTTGCCCTCACTTCCTCTAGTGTCACCTGGGACAAAAGGGTATGGGGGTGTTTCCAATATAAACACAGCTAGGGATGAAAACGTTGTTCTTGAAACTGGGGAGTATTTAAAGATTCCGGAATGGCTTTATTGCTGTCCATCTGAGGAGATATTTCTCTCACTTCCATTCTCTGTGAGTGCTACCACCAGGGACAAGAAGTGAGGGGAGAACCCCCGCCTGGGACAAGAAGTGAGGGGAGAACCCCCCCCCCCCCCAAGGAACAAGGAAACTGAGGTTCTAGCCTTACCCCCTCTATCCAAAACTGAAAAATATTTTGCCCAAACATATTAGTGTGCAAATAACCCTTAGTAACCAATCAGTTTGCTGCAAAGGCTGATCTGTCAAAAATGAATGGCTGTACTGTGGTTATTGCATTTGCTTATTCATTCCAGCACTGGAAAGGCTTTCTTGTGCTTTGTGTTTAAAACAATTTTGCTTAGCTCTTGCAACTTCTTGAGCATGGTTGTGTAGATAATGCTATGATGCATTATGCTAAGCTCAACATCCAATATGCTAACTATCTTAGGAGTGCAGAATTTTTTTCCTTCATGTTTATGGCTGTAGGTTTGAAAATTGCAGTTTGTTTTGGGTCAAACCCTTGTTTCCCAGGTGTTGTTGATGCAAAAGCTATAACTAGTTCAGGTTTTCTCTTTCTATTTATCACCTGTCCAAATCAGGTATTTAATTAGGGCAGTTTTATGCAGTACTGACATTTTGTTCTAAAAAAAACACAAAATTGTAGATTGAGTGTCTTTATCGGTACAATATTAAGGCATATTTTACATGTTCGTGGACAAGTCCGTGAATGCTTCTCCATGCTTTATTCATTAAAATGCTTCTACAAACTAGAGAGAAATATGTTTTTCAAGTGAAAGTTTTCTATTCAAAACTGGGATTTTTCCTGGTAAACTGGGACATATTCTAGCACAGTTCACTAGTTTTTGCACATGTCATTGAAACCTGGCCGTATTTTACTGGACTGAAATCTAACAGGACACAGTAAAACCATCTCCAGGAACTGTCAGTTGCTTAAGAAGAGCAGGCACTATGTGGAACCTAACACACAATGTCAATTCAATCTTTACATCATATGACTATCAATTTTATCTCCTGTCATTTTCAGAAGGATGTCTACTTCTCTTCTTTTATTGGACTCCCTTGTATAGCCTCTGCAATGCTTGGACTCTTTTCTTTGATCTCCACAAGTCCTCCAGCAGGAATATGCCCAACTTTAGCTGCTCGCAATCCAATTAGAGCAGGGGGTGAAATGACCGCAGTAGAGGTTATGTTGCCAGTTGCTGTTGGTGGACCACTAGTGAGGTAAGCTGTGTATTGGTTCCAAAATGATAATGGGCTAACTCCAACCAGTTGTGTAGGAATTTCCCTAGACAGAAAATCCTGCAGCTTCATTGGGTTTCCTGAGAGCAGAGGGCCCAAATTATCCAGAGACAGACGTCTTCCTCTTCTTGAAGAGGTACTATTCCATACATGAGTACTCATGTGAACCTGGAGAAGAAAACAGAGGTTGTAGAACACTGCAGTGTAAACATACTTCAATTATTACTTGCTGACATGTTAAGAGAAACAAATGACTTTGTTCAAAGTGCACCTACACTCTAAAGAGAACTGCTTGCTGTTGCACTCTCCATAAGGTAAAACATATTATATACAACACAGAGTTGGAAAACATGCCCCCTAGACACTTCTCGTTTACCCCCTTAAATGGCTCATGCTATGGCACTGCCTAGATCCTTAAGATCATTCACTTTTAAGGTTTCCTTCAGAAGGATAACATATTGTGAAATTCATACTAATGCCACCCTGTCACTAGGCAACTCAAACAGAAGCAACCTGCAGAAGAAGATGACTGATAGGGATTGGCAGGAGGTACCACTGCATACAATGGAGGGCAAGGCATCCAACATGCGGTGGCCGTACCTCTGCAAGAGAACAAAGATTTGAGTTGGCACCAGCCAAAAAGGTAAGCAAGAGTCATCTTGTTTTGCAAGCTGCTTCTGAGTTACCCAGTGACAGGGTTGCTTTAAAGACAAACAAAAATTGTAATTTATGTTTACAGTTTTTCATTTATTATATGTAATCAGTCAATCTTAGATGTCTGTGAAAACATGTATTTGCGTGCTGTGTTGTCATCACCAAATCATGTAGCTTAGTGTTTGTTACAAGGTAGAGATCTTTTAGCTGGAGAACCTACCTTAAGGTTCCCCCTTGTGGTGAACGCCCTTCCACACATATTGCAGGAAAAAGGCTTCTCTCCTGTATGAATCCGCTCATGAATCTGCAATGCACTGGCCGACGAGAACGTCTTCTTACAAACCATGCACAGATGCTGCTTAGGGCTGCGTCTCAAAGGAGGGGAGAGGGATGTGGCCAGCGGTAGCCCTGGAAGCTTGACCAGTGCCAGTGTCTGGGGTGGGCTTAAAGCTTCACTCTTCAGTAATGTTTGGGCTGGTGATGGGTGTTTGGGGCTGCTCACTGGCTGAGGAGGAAAGGTTTGGCTCACCTGGTGTGCCTGTAGTACATGCTTCTTCAGAATGGATGCCTCCAGGAAGCTTTGCTTGCAAACCAAACAATGGAACAATCCATCTTTTGTGTGACATTTCTCATGCTCCCCCAATGACTCAGTGCTGGGTAGTTTCTCAGAACATAAATCACACACATGGGCTTCCTCTTTATGGGGGCTTCCCTCAGCTGTGGTGCTTATATTTGTATCTTGTTCTTTCTGGTCTGTATGGATTTTTTCATCTAGACTCTTCTCATCTGTATTTTGTGGATTCTTGTCTGCCTCAGCTTTGTCTTCCGCATTACCTAAATTAGTACTATTAGCTTTTTCTAGATGAGAGCCTGATTCAATAGTTGTGCTGAGTGGTTGTTCTGATAAAACAGTTGACTCTGTGGCTGGAAAAGGCAAAGGCTGGAGAGTAGCAGAAGGTGATGCGTTGTTGTTATCATTGTTCTTTACAACAGAAGCTGCAGTGTCATCGTCCATGCTTGATATTTCTGACTCCACTAGTGCAGCCTTTTCACTTTCGGATTCACTTACATCCAATGAGTCATCTTCAGTGCTAACTTCATCTGAAAAATCTGGAATGTTTTTGTCTTCTATGGGTTCTATTTTGCTTCCAACTCCAGGTGATAGGTCTCCATTTGGTATCTGCCCACCAAGATGCATTCGTATATGCTGCTGGAGAGTGACAGCATTGGTAAATTTTTTCTGGCAAATTGGACATGAATTTTGAGGTTTTGAGGATAAACTGGTTTTATGACCCACAAAATGGGCTTTTAAATTGCCCTTAGTTGAGAATGCCCGCCCACATATTTTACATTTGAATGGTCTTTCCCCTCCATGTTGGTTATAATGGAGCCTAAGTGCCCTGGGACAACTTAATACGCGTAAGCAGATGACACACTGGTTAGGAACTGTTGCCTGCTTGTCAATTTTTTCAACTAGCTGTTGTAATTTTGATGTCTCTGAGTATGCCAGAGGTTCAACAGTGTATGAAAAAGGGAAGCTTCCAGATTTAAAGTGGCTGGCTAGCAGTGCCCAACTTGGAAAAGAGGTAACTAGTTTGCTAAGTTGCATCCTCCCACTGACGTCAGCTGTCCCAATAGATGACCTTTCAAGGGGAGGGGTATTTTCATCGGACTTTGTCTTTGGACATACATTAGAACTTTTCAGAGCAGCATCATTTGCTTTTACAAGAACCAGTTTATTAAGTGATGGTAATCCTTGGCTAGCTGAACTTGAGAAGAAATTCAAGCCCTCTGTTGCTATTATTGGAGGTACTACTGGTTTCTTTTCTATTGTCTCTTCCTCTGCCTTCTCTGGAGGTACTGACATGCCATACGGTAGACCATTGCTAGTCAAAACATAATCCAAATGCTCTGGAACAGGATGTGGGTTCATTTGTATATGAGGGTATTTTTCCCTATGTCGATGGAAATGTACTTTCAGGTTGCCTCTAGTAGTAAAACGGTTTCCACATATATTACATTTGTATGGTCTTTCCCCAGTGTGAGAACGTAGGTGTATTTGAAGGGCACTATCACTGCCAAAAACTTTTGCACAGAAACGACATTTGTGCTTCCCTGATGATCTTTCTAGTTGACTTTCACCTCGTAGTGACTCATTGTTCTTCTGCTTCAAGTGGCTTGGGGTAGTTTCTAATACCCTAGCCCCTAAAAATAATCCAGATGGTAAGGTTGGTAAACTTGGTGAAAATATTGCATGTGGCGAAATGAGCTGGCTTGCTGGTGAGCTTGGAAGTGAAGATTGTCCTAGAACTGGCTTTTCACAGATGCCCCCTATCAATTTGTCTTTTATGTTTGGAATACTCCTAGCTCCAAATGCATGCCCTACAGGATTGTAGAGGTGAAGAAAAGTCTGCTTGGAGATCTCATCTCTGCAAAATGTCTTTGTTGATTCTTGAATAGATTCAGATTGTTTTGATGGACTGAAGACAGGCAAGGGTTTTGTTGTAGTGTTCCTTTCTGGTGGTGATGTTGTTGGATTTGAAGGAGTCATGGAAAGGGATCCAAGCATTAGTACCTGTTGACATATTTGCTCCGTTATTTGCATCTGATGTATCTGCCTCTGCTGCAAAACTCTAAGTTCTTCCAGGATCATAGGGATGTTTATAGGAGCTGTAGCAGTCTGACCTCCAGGGACTGCTTCCTGACTCATAGGAGCCAGACCTATTTTTGGTCCTGAGAGACCATCCATTACTATACCCCCATTAGGAATAAGGAAGCGCTGAGAGGGGCCCACACCCTTTTTGTCCATGTCTGGTCTTATGGAGCCCATCATTTGAAAATGTGTTTCTTGGTCACATTGTCGGGTCACCATTGTTCTCTTTCCTGACCCAGCACTTTCTGGAGAGTTAGGTTGTGAGGCAGATTCCTTAATAATGCTTTCTTGTTGGTTCTTTTTAGACTCTCCCTGGTTGTCCACAATCAGAACAATTTGGTTGTCAAGAGAACAGCATTCTTTATGTCTGGTGAAATCAGAGGGTTCGTCAAACTGGGCACAGCATTTCTGACACACTTGAACTTCTTCACCTGCTGTGTACCCTGTAAAAAAAAAAAAAAAAGTAAGAAATAATAATATGTAGCATTACTCTATACATCAGTTAGAACTTGATGTGAAAACATATGGGCACCTGTTGGGCTAAAACTAATAAAAATGCATCTGTTCAATAATTTTTAACCAATGTGTACAGTATAAAAATACAATCCAGGAAAACTTAGAACACCAACCACTTTAATTTTTCCTTAAAGCCCCCATTTCTCCACCCCCACACAAACACACACACTCTCTCTTCATTTAACAGGGCCCTCTTTGTATCCCAGCTTTTGTCAAGCATTAATACTCTGGAGAGAAAAGCCAGCTTCACAGCTCCTGGTAATTGATTTGTATTCACACAAGAGCCAAGGGGACCGACTTCCAAGCATTGATATGGTAATCCTTTCATGGTAACTGTCCCTTGTTCTGGCTAATTTACTCCCGGGTTCTTCGAGCTTAATTAAACTTGTTGAATTGGCTGGGGGTATGGGGGACTTTGAAACACAGCTTGGGAAGGGAGAGTATTCACTACCAAAGAAATGATTTGTGGAATTTGCTTTTATCTTCTTTAGGACTGAATTGTGTACCCTATACGTATACTGTACCTGTGCGGCCAGGACAAAGTGAAGATCCCTGCTTCATTAAATATACATTCCAGTTTATTTGTCCCTTACCCCAATTCAGTATATAAATGCAGAATGTATATACACAAACAAATGAATGTGCACATGTGTTAAAACACATACATTTTACTGCATAAAAATGCAATTCATGTAGAAATCCCATATTATCTAGGTATCTGGTTCACATCAAGTGCACATCAAGTGCACATCAATGCACGTGGTTTTTAAAGAAGGACTGTAAAGGCCTATCCTCACGTATGTCTGTTTGTTACTACACCCGCTGTAACTGGCAATGGGCACTAAAGGTCCATATTTCATGCATTGCAGATGATTACATTTGTGTTGCATAACTTTGTGGGACTGACAAGTCATATTTGAAATCTTCCTGCTTGTTGTGCATTTTGTGCTTTAAGAGTAACTTTAATTTAATGATCCTTGTTCACTTTGCCAATACCAAGCTTACTTAGTACAAATATAGTGAAGACATGCATAAACATTATTTCACTTAAACTATAACTCCATTCTGCGGGTAGTGCTTGGCTAATGAATGCACATTTTTTCAGAAAAAATGCATCAGTGCTGCAGCATGAATAGTATGTATAGACCTCATGATATCTCAAGGTTTCTCAGTCTTATGTGTGAAGGGGTGCTGTAAGTACTTAACTGATCCTCTTCACATCAGATAATTGTGCCCTAGTATATATACCTTTCTGGAAATTAATACTGAAAATTTGATTTTCCTAAACTCTGAGCCAAACATGGCCCACATCATACTCGGTTTGATAGCTCACTGAATCTTGGGACTGCCACATTAAAATAGAGATATCAGTGGGTATGTTTGTACTTTTTCTTCAAATTTCAATAAAAGTGGCACAAGTCAAAGGTAATATCAGCCCGTGGCAGTACAATTTTAATTGCAAGAAATGAGGAACCAGGAAAACATCACACTTTCTTGCTAATCTGCACTCCTTGAATGCATTCCACTGTGGAGAAATGCAGGTGACAGATACTGTATAAGCAAAAGTCACAAAAAGTACTACACCAGTATATGTGTTACTGCATTTGGAAAATGTACTTTAAATTGTGTAATCACATATTCCTGTGTTTATAGCATCTTTCTTGATATAAAAACTATCTTTATTATTCCTATAAAAAAGGATGACAACTGCATGGCATTTAGATCACACATTACTAAGCCGTGTAGCGTGTCTGTAGAATGTATGCTGGAAATTTCAGCCCTCAAATACTTGTTCTAACTCTTAAAGCAGATCCAAACCAATCACTAAAATCTCATAAAAGCTTTACCATGTTAATGTAACTTCAAAAATGTTTTTAATATTTTTATATCTGCAGCTTCAATGAAAAGAATACTTGGTGATCCTGCCATGATCCTAATCCAGGCCTGTTAAGGGATGGCAATTGTCTCCTTATTGTTCTGCTGCGTTATCACCCTGTTACATGCACCCCTGGTGGAGACTACAAGCGGCTGTGCGGGCATGGTCAACCATTGCCACTATCAGAAAGCCAGCCAGAACAATGATGTGCAGCTGATGCATGAGTTGAATGTTTATAGTTAGGGAGGGGCCGAAATAGCCTGCAGAAGATACACAGTTCTAAGATGCAAAAATTGATTCAAAAAACAAAAAATAGGTGAAAACTGTATTTTATGGGAAAAAACATGAAAATTGACATCCAGTGACAAATGTCATCCAGTTTAACGTAGTATTAAACCCTCACTGTAAAGGTGCCCACACACCTTACAACCATTGCAAGACTTTTGTCTTGCGATGGTTGTAACGTAATAAAAAAAACGCACGATCTGCCCATCTTGGCCAGGCAGATCGTACTTGCGATAATCGCAAGCCCGCCCCGCTGAGGGGGGGGCTTTCCGATGACCGCAATGCTGAACGGGCAGTGTGCGCTTCCGCACACTGGCCCTTTCGGCATTTGTCTTACGATCATGCCACAAACCCGCCGACAATCGTACGATTCTCGGCGGGTTTTCGAACATGCTCTTAAGACAAAAGTTGTGCGACCTTCCAGTAGCAGAGGTCGCACGCCTTCCATACACCTTGCAATTATCGTACGTGTATGGGCACCTTTATATTGCTCATTACAATTAGCTCCACCTAACCACCAGCTGATATATTGTTAATTTCTTCCTTGTGTCCCAAATGCTTGTTTTTCAGATGTTCTGAAGTTGTCTCTCCTGTGTCTCTCCGATCAGCACTGCTGCAAACTTTCGGTCTGGGAGTGCACCCTGGGCACAGCTTAGCTTAAAATCTACATGTCCCATGATGCTTTGTGCACTACCCGCAATGTACATGCTTTGGCCGAACACAGCACCAGGGCCGTGGTGATCTTTGAAGCTCTGTTCAGCCGGCGCCTGTGTAATACAGGCCCATTCTGGTGCTTTGTTTAGCAGCTGAACGTACTGTGCATGTCACTGTCACCCATAAGTGACGCCAGAGTGCAGTACAGGCAGCTGAATCGTACAGCGCATGTGTCAGCTAAATGCCACCAGTGGCACCTACCGCGTAAGCGTTGGCCAAACACATGAGGTCCAGGGAGAAACGGAAGTCAAAGGAGCCACCCTGAAGGCGGAAGCTGCACACATCAGATTTCAGAGGCTGGATTTTGCTGCAAAGATTCCAAAGAAAACAGCACTGAACTGATGGTGATATAAGTTATGCCGCCACAATAATATATTTTTTTCCTGGATGGTTTATTAACACTACAAAGACTACACCCAGCTTCAGGTTTGTCTGTTTTCCAACAATGCTGTCCTATAGAACACTTGTAGAAATGGAAGAGAGCCCTCCGCACACCTTACAGCAGTCCCGGCCAATTTAGGATGATGGTGCTCGAAGTGACCAAATCACGGATGGCACCGTGCAAACACAAAGCAAAAAGATAAAAAGTCACCAGCACTCGATTTTTTGATAGTAAGTATGTCCCTTTATTGGACAAAAGACGTCATAGGGGAGCCGACGTTTCGGGGCCACACAGGGTCCCTTCTTCTGTGTCCATACTTTCTGCCTTGAAGAAGGGACCCTGTGTGGCCCCGAAACGTCGGCTCCCCTATGACGTCTTTTGTCCAATAAAGGGACATACTTACTATCAAAAAATCGAGTGCTGGTGACTTTTTATCTTTTTGCTATAGAACACTTGGTCATTTTACATCGTTTCTAAACAACCCTAAAGTCCAACTGCAGACAATATTTTGGGGAATAATGGGGAATACCTGCCCGAGGTATCAAACCCTCACAACTCTACATCTAATGTATAGACAGCAAAAAAAAACAAACTCATAGGAGTTTTAACCTATCCCTACAGTATATATATATACAAAACTATTTCTTAGACAAGGCTGTTATCTAGAATACTGGACAATCTCAATATTAATGGATTTGAGGTAAACAGCACCCTTAAAGAAGAACTCCAGGCAGAATAAAACTTAACCCTTGCAGTGAGGCTACCCCATATATCTTTATTATTTTAGACCCTAGATGAAAACGGGTACTTTACCCTTGCACTGCGGGGGGTGGCTCCACTGCAAGGGTTTAGTTTTATTCTGCTCAGAGTTCTTTTTTAAGCCCACCTTGTGTGACTGATCAATGTCATGTTTAAAGTGACCCTGTGGGAAAGGTGTGCCATATGCCTGATCTCTCAATGTACACTATGGATCCTTCTGGTGGTTGCTATGTCATTGCAGTCTAGGACATATGTTGTCCTCACACCATTCTGCTTTGGAATGCCATCTTTATTCGTATTCCTTCAGCATGACATATAAATACAATGTTTCGGAGCCTCACAAGACCCCTTCGTCTGGCAACGTGTCAAAACGTTGCATTCACATGTCATGCTGAAGGTATACGAATAAAGATGACATTCCAAAGCAGAATGGTGCGTGGACAACATATGTTCTAGATTGTATATTGTGGCGCCATCTCCCAGTTGTTCCAGCACCCGTTGGATTCTGGGGTACATCGGTACGGTGTGCGAAGGGGATATTACAAAGTGCTATGTCATTGCAGGACACACCTGGAAGTGTTGGATTTCATAGGTGGCCATAGTGCTTCAACAGAATGACAAATGCAGTCTTTTCCACACCACTTCATTCTGCACACTGGACTGTACATTTCCTGCGCTGTACGTTCCCTTTCTGTACATTGCGCTGTATGTTCCCTGTTCCACACTACCTCATTTTGTATGCTGCACTGTATGTGCCCAATTCCATACCAGCCTTTTCTGTACGCTATACTATATGTTCCAAACTGCCTCATTCTGTAAGCTATGTTGTATGTTCCCTATTCCACATGCTTCATTCTGTATGCTGCACTGTACATTCCCTATTGTACACAGCCTCATTCTCTACACTGCAC